TACCAATGCCATCTTAAAGAAGATCTTGAGGCATTTCCATACAGCTTGCTAATGTGCCTAGAACAAGTCTAGTCCAGCTTGATCGGAGGTTTCGAAAGGGACCGTCACTGACTATACCTCCGAGTGGGTTATCTCCTTGGTTAGGTGAACAAGCCATTCTAGGAAGCCGGGCTCACATTAAGCAAGCTCTCTCTCCTCCCTGGGAGGAGAGAGAAATTTATCAATATTTGATATTGGAGGACTTCCTGTTGAATTTCAGCCCCCTGTAAAGCTACTTTTACAGGCTTGTGAAACTGTTTTCCCAGCAAAAAAATAGCTCTAAAGCCTGTAAATCTAGCTTTACAAGGCCTGTAAAACCCACAGGTCTCTCCTCAGGCTGTCAATGGGCTCGGGCACCCATGGGCTACCCACGTCCCAATGGGTCTCGGGGCGGGTTTGGACAGGAAAGGGTGGAGAATTTCCCAAGTGTGACCCGCCCCATGAAGACCCACCAAATTCATGGGCCGGGCTTGGACAGGCTTCCTGGAGGTGGGCCGGCCCATTGGCGCACAAAAAGCCCCAGTTTCCCTGAATATCATCAGAATTAACCTTATAATATGTACCCACAGTACATATTATTAGGTCTGAAGGCCCAGAATTGGTACCTAGATTATCAAATTTTCTTTATCCATTGTTTAGGCCTCCATGCAATGCCAACTTGACCTCCCATCTCACTCCCTTGAGTGAACAATTGCCCGAGATTGTTGCTCAGGTCAAAAAAACCCATGAGCAAATTTTTGATGGGCAGACCCAAGACCCGCCCCGAGCCCACCTGTCTCCAAGCCGGTGTAAAGCTCAAAAGTGTTTGTCAAAACCTTTTGCTGAGTGTGGAAAGGGATGAATGAGGATACCTCTGCCTTTCCTGGATCACTAGACACTAGACAAGCCCACCAATCTCAGATTGGAAGGTTTAATAAAGTGATAGTGGAGTGTATCAAAAGATAACTGTGGCTTAACAGGTGGACAAAGGGTTTAACCCAGTTTTATAAGGGTCTAAAGGTTGATTTGAGAGTGAGAGAGTGAGTCTAGCTGATATTTCAATGGTAAGGGGATGGTATGTAATGGTATGTAAGGGTTTGTAAGGGTAGGGGGTATGAAATAGGTGGATACTAAACTCAGGGGAAAACAACTGAGAGGAGAGCCTCTTAAATACACAAAGGTAAGGGATTTTAGCTTCAGGGGAACAAGAGAATGAGAGATTTTAGCTGGCCAGAGCTTTACAATGAGGGGATTTAGCTAGTCAGAACATGTACATGAGGTATTTTGGCTGGTTGAGCCACCTACATGATGTCATAAGAGTTATTTTAGTTTGAACTAGAAGTCTACATGAGGGTTTTATGCTGGTGTAGCATTTTACATGAGGTGATGTACCAGTCTGCAAGCTGAGGTGAGGTGATGAGTATTACATGAGTGATGTGGGATAGTCTGACAGCTGCAAGGAAGATTAACAAATGACATGACAACCTGCATGATGTCAATTGTAAATCCAGAGTGGTACCAGACCAACACTGCATGTGTCAACTGTCAGAAGATAGTGGAGTGGTGTGTATACATGTACTATAATGGTGTGAGAGTGTATGTAGTTGTCCTGCAATGTACATATGTATAGTGTGAGTTATCTAATTTGTTGGTGTTGTTGAGTGTTGAAGTGTTGCCATGGTGGTGAGTTGTGTAATTGAGTGTAGTGATGGTCCAGAGGGTGTAGCTTCCAATCCAGTTGAGTTCCAGTGACGCCTCCAGTGGTGACCAAGGGTGAAATTGACCATAGAATCCAGTTCTTGAGCCATAATGGTTGATTTGTGAGTGTATATATGAGAAAAAAGGTGTAAAAAGTATGTAATTTGTAATAAAAGAAAAAACTGTAAATTTTTTAAATGGGCCAGATGGCTACCCTTAAGGTATACCACACCGGGGGCAGGTTTGGGCAGACTTTCTTAAATTCCGGCCCGCCCCGCCCTGCCCCACATTCCTAGGCGGGGCGGGTTTGGGCATGGTTTTTGGGCCCAAGCCCGGCCCATTGCCAGCCTGAGTCTCTCCTCCCTGGGAGGAGAGAGAAATTTATCAATATTTGATATTGGAGGACTTCCTGTTAAATTTCAGCCCCCTGTAAAGCTACTTTTACAGGCTTGTGAAACTGTTTTCCCAGCAAAAAATTGGCTCTAAAGCCTGTAAATCTAGCTATTCTACCGCCTTAAAACCCACAGGAATTCCTT